CAGGTATAATTTGCGTGTTCACGAGTTGTAAAACCATCCGGTTTGTTTGTGTTAACGTCAGACCAAAAAACTAAAAAAACGTGCTTTCCCAAAAAGCACTTTAATGAAACGGATCATTTGGGGATACGCATAACGCGTAACGATTTAGTATTTACTTTGAATTCACTTTCATTTACTTAGAGAAGTTCAAGTAAATATCACTTAATTTATATGATAGAAATGAATTCATTACAGTTGTGAAATGAAATAACATTTTTTCTTTTCCAAAAAAAATAGAAATAAAATTTTTCGTCATCTTTTAATCACCAAACAAAATATTGCATAAAACGAACCCATCTGGTGGAGAAACGGAGTTCGCCAGATTTGCTAGTTATCATTATAAATTTGTTTAAAAAAATACTTTGATCTTGTAAGGATACTAATCACGGGCCGGAGTATAAACAAAGCCGGCCCAGTATCCTCCACAAAAATGTTTATATTTACTGGGACAGGCAGGATTTCGGGAGTAAAGAGGGAAATCCGTCTCCCGGATACCGACGCCTGTCCCACTCGGCTTCGGGCCATGCCTCGGGGCCGGCCCCGGTGCCTGGTGCCAACCGTCCCTCAATCCGACCAAGGCGCGGCCCGCGTCCACGTCCTCGTCACCCGAGTATCGGGGCTGCAGGACTCGCCTGGGTAGAGGGACAACTCCGTGCATAGGCATGATGACCACGTCACCCGTGTGCCGCCCGCTACGCCCAGAGAGGAACCCTGTCAACCGTGAACCGTTCCCGCCTTGGCCGCCAAGCTGGGTGGTGGGATAGGAGAGGGAGGAAAACCTAATTGGACAAAACAAAGACCGCAGTAGCGTCACAAAATAATTATTTAATGTCAAAGATCCCTACCGTAACTCTTCCTCGCACATGACCCCCTCTACAAGAATCGCGTCAAGGCCCAGCTCACCCGCTCCTCATTGTTCTTCATGGGGCCGCGTCTATGCCCTGAGCCTGGGTCGCCCGGCACTCTGGAGGCGTGGAAGTTCTCCTGGCCGCGTGGAGCCCGGCTCCTATTTTCCGGTTGCGGACCGACTCCAAGAGGCACGTCTGCCCTCTTGGGCTGTTGAAAACCGACTTCACGATCGGGGGCAGAGGGCCTTCTTCCGCCCTCCTTCGCCTGTTCCTGAAGATCGTTATGGTCGTCGGCGATCGGCTTCGCTGTCGGCAAACGGGTTTTGCCGAAGCTCCTCGTTGTAATCTCGGGTGTGTGTTGATGCTCGGCCGTGTGCTGTTTTGCCAAGGGTGCGACTGTACTTGGCGCCGCTCGGATGTGTGACTATGCTGCTGCTCTGCCGGGTGTATGGCTGTACTTCGGCTTTGCTGTCGGCAAGCGGGTTTCGCCAATAGCGAGTGGCCGATGGCTGCCGATGGCGAGTGGCTCTTTCGAGTGCGTGGCTCCGCCGTGTGTGTGTCTCCGCCGTGCCCCACTGCGTGTGTGGCTCCACCGTGTGTGTGGTCCTGCCGTGTGTATGGCTCCGCCGTGTGTGTGGCTCCGTCGTGTGTGGAATCTGGTGGGGTGTTGCTCCTATTCTTGTCCTTAGTACTATTTTTACTACTAGTCCAACCGCTATTCCTACTGCTAATCTTACTACTATCTTTACATTGTACCCTCGTTGGGTCTTTTCCTGTCTGGTTCCCTATATATATTCCTACTATGTACAAAACTACAAATATTTATCCCTGTCGGGGCGGTGCTGGCCAACGCCCAGCTGGATGCGCTGCTGCTTCCCTGAAGTTCGGCTTGGGCCTGCTCATGTTGAGTCCGGAACCGCTCTGTACTCGTCGGTGGACGGGAGGGTTCCACCCTCATGACCGGGTGATTCCGGGTGGCAGCGTGGCCTAGCACGACGCTGAAATCAATGCGTGGTGACGCAGCGGCTAACGCGGCCAGATCCGGATCGCGGGACGGTTCCGCGATTCGGTGAACGTTGATGTCTGTATGAGACGCCGGTGGATGGCGGCAATGGGGGGTGCCCCATTCGTCCCTGAGGGGGCTGTACTGGGACATCGGTGCGGGTGTTGTCCGGCTGTCGTCCCGGCCGACGAACATTTGCAGCAGTGTGTTGTCGGGCGATCCTTCCCACTGCATGAGACTGAGGGACACTAGCAGCCTCTCAAGGGACGGGGATTGGGTTCGTCCCGAACCTTGACGACCTAATAAGGTCCATCATACTTGGCTGTTAGCTTGGCAGCAAACCCTTCGGCAGCGTTGGATAATGCGTACCGGCGCACGAAAACTAGAGCACCCAGTGCTGGTCTCCTTTCCCTTCGTCGTAAGTTGTAGTGCCTGCCTTGCTCCGCGATGGCACGTTTGGCGTTATCGCGAGCAACTTTGAAGATGCTGTGTAGTTGTTGGCTTCGCTCTTCAGTCGGGATCATGATGATTCCTCGCCCAGGTGTTACCTTGTCGTAGAGAGTGTTGGGTAGGCGTGGCTCCAGGCCTTGGACAAGGAAGGCGGGGCTGAATCTTGTAGTGTCGGATAAGGTACTTTTTACTGCGAGTGATATCTCTGGGAGCAGCTGGTCCGGTGCAATTTGCCCTCTCTGTCTGTCCCGTCGTCTCAAACCAGAGTCTTCGGGATTCCGAAACGTCAGAGTATCCTTTCCCGGAAGGCTCGCTCCAAGTATGGCACAGTGGCTCGTCGCAAGGGGATTAGCTCGACCCATTTGCTGATCGAGTCCAGAAACACAAGGAGAACTGTGTTTACATGTTTGGACAGCGGGAGAGGTCCCACGAAGTCGGCGCATAGGATCTGGAAAGGTTCGTTAACCTGGCGTGTGAATATCTTTCCAGCTGCTTTCTCCTGGCTAACCTTAAAGCGTTGGCAGCTACTTCCCGGAACGATCGGGGCCAGTAATACCTCTGGGCCACCAGTGTACATGTTTTCTGTACGCCCAGGTGCCCGGCGGTCGGAGGATCGTAGCATTCCTGTAGTACCCTCCTGCTCCGGACGCAAGCCTATACGTCGGTATAGCTGTCCGTTGTCCGCGCGGTAGTCGGGATACTTGGTGGGTTCCTGCTGAATTGCAGGTGTTGTCCTGCACCTGCGCTTATTGAACGCTTGCAAGGGGTTGACGCGTCGGCAACCAAGTTCTGGGTCCCACGTCGATAGTTGATGTCGTACTGGAACTGTTGCAATTCCAACGCCCATCGAGTGATTCGTCCCGTGGGGTTGTCGATGGAATTTAACCACTTTACGGAGTGGTGATCGGTGAGTACCTCGAATCGGTACTCTTCCCACACTATCGCAAGACATTCCTTTTCGGTGACCGAGTAGTTTCACTCGGCGTTGTTGAGCCGGCGGCTGGCGTATGCGATGACGCGTTCCTGCTGTTGGATGGTTTGTGTCCGTCGACCGTGACCTCTGCCCGGATACGACTATGATCCTGTTAGATTGCGGTGGTCAGTTTCTCTGGGCATTTGGCGGTGTCCTCGAGTAGTTCCCTGATACTCGAGGCCCTTGCACGTTTTCCGGGGTCTGGGTCCTTCAGCAATCGATGGTTCGAGGGGTTGCGACATTCCCTGGAGGCGTGTCCCTCCTGTTTGCAGTTTTGGCAAGCGGATCGAATCGGTACCCTTCCCACACTGTCGCAAAATATTCCTTTTCGGTGACCGAGTAATTCCGCTCGGCGTTGTTGAGCCTGCGGCTCCTACTTTCCAGACCATTCCCACTTCCGATTCTTCTTGAGAAGGGAAGTCATAGGTTCCACTACGTCGGCAAAGTTCGGTACAAAGCGTCTGTACCAGGACGCTATGCCGAGGCATCGGCGAAGCTCCTTGAGGTTCGTCGGCGCTGTTAGCTCCCTTATGGCGACTATCTTATCCGGATCCTTGTGAATCCCGGCTTCACCAATCACATGTCCAAGTTATGTGATACTCCGTAGAAATAACTTACACTTATCCCGGCTCAGGCGGCGGTTGGCACCGCTTACGCGTCTGAACACTTCCCGTAGATCACTATGATGTCATCCAAATATGCGAAGTAATGTGACTCCATGTCAGGGCTGATGACGCTGTCGCACGTTAAAAAGTTGCCGAGTGTAGGCCGAAAGGCATCACCTTCCAATGAAATAATCCTCGGCCGGTGAGAGTGAATGGTGGTATACGCCAGTATCCATTCTTGAGATCCAGCGTCGATATGAAACGGGCTTTGCGCAGTCGTTCCAAAATATGATGGATCCTCGGTACGGGATATGCGTCAGGGATTACCCTAATAGGACAAAAAAATCACCGCAGTAGCGTCACATAATAATTGTTTAATGTCAAAGATGCCAACCGTAAAACAACACCTAACTCTTCCTCGCACGTGAGCCCCTCTACGGGAATCGCGTCAAGGCCCAGCTCACACGCTCCTCATGGTTCTTCATGGGGCCGCCTATCCACGGTGGAGGACCCCATGGTTGGTGTCGTTGTCGGCGTAGCTGGCAGCGTCGATGCCCTGAGCCTGGGTCATCCGGAACTCTGGCTCCTCGTGGTGACGACTCCCGGAGGCGTGGCAGCTCCCCTGGGCGGGTGGAGACCGGCTCCTAGGCACGTCTGCCCTCTTGGGCTGTTGAAAACCGACTACACGATCGGCGGGCATAGGGACTTCAACCGTCGTCTTCTGCCGCCTATCTCTCTGCTGCTCTGGCGTTTGCGCCCTTCGCTGGCTCTGCCGATGGCGTGTGGCTCTGACGCTGTGGGCTCTGCTGAGTGCGTGGCTCCGCCGTTTGTGTGGCCCTGCCGTGTGTGTGGCCCTGCCGTATTTGTGGCCCCGCCATGTGTGTGGCTCCGCCGCACTACTACTATTTCTACCGATAATCCTACTGCTAATCTTACTACTATCTTTACATTGTGCCCTCCTTGGATCTTTTCCTGTCTGATTCCCTATATCTATTCCTACTATACACAAAACTATATCTACAAATATTTACTTAAGTATGTGGGGAACCATCGGTTCCTCACAATCTGAAACCAAAAATAAGTAAAGACACAGCTTTATTCGAGAAAAGAAACGAATGTATTTCACAAAAATATTAATATACAAATCAAAAACATGGTTGTATTGTGTTTATGGTTATAGCATCATTCTGTTACTTCTTTTTTTCCATTCTCCTTTAAAATTTCCGGATATTCCAATTTAACTCCCGTCTCGCAAGTAAAAATGGGACAGCAGTAAGGAAACGGTGCGGTCTTGTTTGTCTTTTCCGTATCCAATTTACATTTTTCGTTGGCCAAGGGCAATGGGCCACAATCCTCTACGAGCTCCAGAAGTCTGATCAAAAAATGTTTATTTAAATATATAAATAAATTAAAAAATGGTACTAAATTAAAATTATATTGTAAAAAAATACAAAAAAAACTTTTACTTGGCATCGTTTTCCTCATTTTGTACACATGTAGAGCGACCACAAAATGGCGTCAAGTCCCAGGATTTTCCTGGCTCAACAGTTGCACATCGAGTTGAGGCAAAGCACATTGCTGGAAAATCTTTAAATGGGAGAATAATTCAATAATCTAAGTATACTAATACATTACTAAAGATAAATCCATTTTGCAATTTCTAGGATTTTGGTTTTAACATAGTTCTATGAAAATATACTCCTACATATAGGATATTTTTCAAAATATTTTTTATTTACTTTCAACTTTTTACTTATGATACTTGTATACTTTAGGTACTGGTACACTTTATTTACTTTTTTGTTAGTTTCAGAATTAATTTTAATTTTTGAAAATCAGTATTATATCATATATACATATGTAGATGTCATAGAAACATACGGGAAATTAATATAAAACAAGAAAGGAAGCTAACTAAAATTAATACCTAAATTCTAGTATAATATAAAATGGATATATGTATCTCAAATTTTACAAATATATGTGCAAAACTGAAAAAGTTTATAATGTTTAATTTTAATAGTTTCTCGATCGTTCCAATGGCAGGTATATGATATAGTAGTCCGAATTTCATAAATTTAATACCGAATTTCTAGAACAGTACAAAATGGCAAAATCTCTAATTTTATGAAAATCTGTTGAAGACTTGAAAAGTTATAATACTTTTCTCAAAAAATTTCCTAAGGCAGCTTTATGATATAGTTTTCCGATCCGTGTCGTTTTGAATTATATACGAGTGAGAGTATATAGAAGACTAACTGCAAAGTTGTATTTAGATAGCTTGAAAACTGAAAGACTAGTTTTCGTAGAAACAGACAGAAGGACAGACGGACATTAGGGTGGGTCGATTTCAAAATCGCTTAGGCACATATAATTATCTACAGACGTTTTGGTTTAACACATGTTCGCCTGCGCAGAGCGCTACACAAAACGTATATGGTATATATATATATACATATATGTTAACAGCAATAACAGCCGAATATATGTAAATATATCATCCTGATTGCACGTCTTGCATCGGATTATCGGATGGATTCAGCTGCATACTCGGCAACGGTAGGAGTGAGTGCATGTGGAACGCCTGCTTTTGATGCCGTCGTACCCAGTAATTGGCGGATTCGAAGTTATAAATCGAGCGGCGAACGACGAAATCTCTTGGATCGGTGCGGAAGGTTCAGGAGGAATCTGAACACCGGAGGACGAGTTGCTGGGATGCAGCAAGGTGTGATGCCGTCTGGTGCTGGTGGTCTCGTGCGAAAAAATTCAAGCAGAGTTGCTTTCTTCGGACGATATCAGATCGCTCGAATACAGTCATTTCGAGGAAACGGGGACATATACGCACGGGGTGGTATTTCCTGGAAATCAGGACACAGCTTTACTCGACTTGGACACAAAAAACAAAATGTTCGGCCCACTGTTGAAGACCGGCAGTGAGAACGAGGCGGAAGAAAGCTTATACTTATCTTTAGTGAAAAAATCACCGGTAACTGCTGGTGAAAGGACCGAAGAATATCCGTATCCGGCTCGAAGGACGAAAAAATGTAAGGGGCGAAACTGCCGTTAAAAATCCGTGAAGAAAATTAGCGTGGGATAATTCGAAGCGTGTCAGCTTTATTGGGCTGCATACAAGTTACTAATTAGCTTAAACGTAAGCGCCACGCTCCCGACCGATAAGATAAGCTTATCAGTGCGAGACCGAGACCGGGAATTGGAGCGCAAACTAGCCGTCCCTCAGCTCGCTTAGCAGCAAGGCTAGAGGCCAGAATTAGAGGAGTAAAACTTCACAGTTGAATATTTAAAGGGAAAAGTTAATTTTGTAACTGATGCGTTATCAAGAATAACCTTCAAGGACTTACAAAACAATACTGTAAATATACCTGAAGTCACAACAAGAAAGCAATGTAGACAAGAATCCTGCGCAGCAAAAGATAAAGTAGAATTGCCTAGGTAATTACAAAAGTAGCTTCAAAGGCCAACGTATACGAAGTCATAAACAAGTTGTGACCATGCATGTAAACAATATGACATGTTTATTTAAACATAGCAGAAAAATTACAGCAACATATGATCTTAGCTATTTATATACTAATGGAACCATTGATTTACATAGATCAACTCTTTCACAGGCTTGAAAAGCAAGTCGGTATATATAAAATCAGCCAACTTAAAGTGGCACCGCGGTGACCATAATAAAGAATACAAACGAAAAAGAAGTTACATTATCTACATTCCAAGATGATTCAACACAAGGAGGTCATACAGGCATTACAAAAATCTAGGCCAAGGCCCAGAGACACTATTACTAGAGAAATATGTCTAAAGACATAAAAGAGTACATAAGAAAATGTCCTAAATGCCAAAAGTCTAAAACGGCTAAACATACTAAGACTCCATTAACCATAACCGAAACTCCTCAAACAGCTTCCGATAGGGTAATTATGGATACAATTGGCCCACTAAAAAAATCAAACAATGGCAACGAATACGCAGTAACACTCATAAGCGATTTGACTAAATATTTGGTAGTCATAAAAATACCATAAAAAATTATAAAACAGTAGCTAAATCTAATTTTGAAGAATTTAGTCTGAAGTACGGTCCAATGAAGACGTTCATTACGGATATGGGAACAGAATATAAAAACTCAATAATTACAGACTTGTGAAAGTATTTAAAAATCGACAATATAACATCATTTCAGTAGATATAACTGATTGGGACGTATGGCTCCAATATTTCGTATACTGATTCAATACGACACCTTCTATGATACAAGATTATTATAAGCTAGTTTTTGGTAAGGCATCAAACTTACCAACTCAATTTAATATGGCAGATAGAATAGAACCACTATATAATTCAGATGAGTATTCTAAGGAATATAAATTAAGATTTGTAATAGCTTATAAAAGAGCTAGAATAATAATAGAAGGAAATAAGACTAAAAATAAGGAACAATATTATAGAAAATGTAGAGATATTCATCTCAGCATAGGAGACCTAGTTTTGCTTATTACTTATCTCTTAGTCTAAAGGTGGGCACACTTTTTTTTCTGCACAGTATATTTGGGTGTGAATGAGTAGGATAGTATGGTCGGTTTCGATTAACAGTGTTCTCACTCATTTCATAGTTGTACAGCTGTTGATGAGTGCAGCGAAATCGGTGTACAGTAGTCAAGGCACTGTACAGTGTTTTGGTGTGCTGTTGACTTACTGTACAGTGAGTGAAACTTCATGACTGGTACATACACACATATAGAGTTCTCGTGTGCATGGTAGAATTATACAAGGTAGTCTCGTCGGCTGCCTATCCGTTCGGCTTTTTGTGAGTGCGTTCTCGTTTGTCAAAGGAAAAGGTTGTGTGCGGACGATTTTTTTTTGACTATTAACCCTTGTGTGAGATGTCGTTTTGCAATTTCTGTCGGAAGCACGTGCATGGAGTAAAATTGATAAAAGCACCGAAATGTTTAACGAAGTGGACATTGTGGGAGGAAATTAAGGAGCTGGAAATTGTTTTTTTAGATATAGTTTCTGATTATTTTAGTACTACAAAAAAAGTTAAGGAGAAACTATTAATACCTGCTAAGAATATAAACATTAATTTAGATATAAACAAATTTTACTTTAAGATTCGGATTTATTTTAAAATTAAGAATTAAAACAACAAAATAGCTTTACAAAAACAACGATTAATTTCAAATTCAAAACTATTAAAAATTAAATTATAAAACACTTCAACTCTTTTTCCTATGTATGAACAATTTAACCCCCATGGACTATCTAAGGGTTAAACTAAAAGCTCTTTTATCGTTTCACTCGCACTTACTTCGCAGACTCCTCTCACTCGCACTTGCTGTGAGTAATGCATAGGGGAGTGCTTTTGGCGACGAGACTACTTTATATAATTCTACCATGCTCGTGTGTATGTATGTCATAGAAAGAATACGTTTAAAAATTGATTTGTCGTTTTAAATGTATTTAATTTAAAATAAAGAAATTAGAAATTTCGAAAATAATAATATTTGACTTAAACATAGATTTAATAATTATTTTATGTTATTAAAAAATTTATATTTAAATTATTAATAGTGATATGGAGAAACATTATTCTATTTACCATGGGTTCAGTGGTGGCAATTTTGGATCGTTTTTCACAAATTAAATTTTTGGCAACAGAAAATGCCCTTTTCGATGCTGAACTGCTCGCGGGAGCTGCTAGTATCTTACAGCTAATTTGATAAAGTAAAGGAAAACTGTCTTTATTAATTGTCCACCACTGCAGGACATCAAAATCTTCACTGTACGCTTTATTTATATGTCTATATGTTTGAAGTTCATCCAGAATATATTGCAAAATATTTGTGCTCTGAACAGGTTCCGAATAATCTGAAAATATATTATCTATGTCATGTGCAGGTGCGTCGAGCGTCGTTTTCTTTGCAATCCATGTTTATGCACTTATTAAAAAATATTGCACTCATCTGTACAGTTGTACACAGTCATCCAACAAGCTGTACAGCTATTTAAAAAGAGACAAATATAGTACTCACTCACGAAGAGTACAACCATATACAGTTTTCACTCGGAGTGAGTACACTGAAAATGTTGTGCTATCTTCTTCTGGCCAATAGAGAATACTGTGCACTAAGAAATGGGTGCAGTATTTTTAAGAACACTACACTACTGTACAGAACTGTTGTGCTGCAAATGAGTACATTCATGGAGAAGTCTCATATGTAAGTTCGATTTCAAACATACAGGGCCCTACAATGTAAAACACATAGGAGAAAGAGAAACATCATAATCTCCGATGATAAAAATAAAAAACAAACAGTACATAAGGATAGGTTTAAATTATTCATTTCTTAAACCAATAAATTTACTATTATTTCATTACAAAAATGCGTTTAATTTAAATGTTCCTCTAACTTTATATATTTCAAATTCCATTTGATTTTTTAACATTTAATAATAATAAAAATCTTAATAAAAATAACCAAAAAAAATAATAATAAATATATTTATTTTTTTCCTTAATATTCGGTAAAATCGTAAAAAAAAAGACGTTATATAATTACGTTATATACATATCGAATGCGCACTGTACGCAGTGTTGCGCATTAAAATTATTACAAACACATTGTAACACTTGGCCACAATATGCATTAACAAATCTAAGATTCAAGCAGTTCCGAAGTGCCCTGTAATATGATCGCGGATGAGTGAACTCGGCATAGAAAATTCTTAATTGACATATTTGACATGCGCAACGACTATGCCACTATATTGGCTATATAACTCCTCTCCGCCGGACCGACTCTCGGCTGCCCTCACTTACGCATAAACACTTATGCATAAGCATTGACCGCTGCTCTGCCAGCGGCACTTATTTATATATATATATTTATATACATAAGCGTTGGCCGCTGCGCTGCTCACTCAGCTATGCAATTCTAAGCTTAATTCTTAAGTCAAGGCAGCATTCAACAAATGACTCCCAAACGAAATGGATGGTTTTGTATAAATAAAATAAAACCAATATAAAAACTAAAACAACAAAAAGTAGATCTTTTATACAAGGAACAATTAATTACAAGGGCCTCAACGCAATGACAACGCACTGTAGGGGCGTACAAGTCATCTCATTATAAGATTTATACACATGCAGGGTATTATAACAACAGTCAGAAGTTTGCAACGCATCATCATCTCAGACCATATAAAGTATATATATATTCTTGATCAGTATCAACAGGCGAGTCGATCTAGCCATATCCGTCTGTCCGTTTCTACGCAAACTAGTCTCTCAGCTTTGAAGCTATCTTAATGAAACTTACTCGTATATACATATATCGGAACGAGCCGGATCGGATATATAGCTGTCATAGAAAGGATCGTAAAATTCTTAGAAAACAAATCTTAACTTTTCCAACTTTCAACAGATTTTCATCAAATTTGAGATATAGCCCTTTTATATTATTCTAGTGTTTTTGATTTAATTTTATGAGAATCGGAAGAATATATCATATAGCTGCCAAATGCAAGACTGTGAATGTTAAACTGTAAATATAATATGTATAGGTGAATGAAATAAAAGCAGGCATTACTTCATTGTTTTTTTTTAACATAAATTTATATCATTTATATTGTATTAATTCCTAGTGACCGAAGTTCAATCTGCAAGGGTATATAAGCTTCGGCGTGCCTGTTATTAGGCGATCAAATATTGGACGGAATACACCTGCTGCACATTCGCAAGTGAATATTCGTAATAACCAAGCACAAAATTAACGTGCCTAACAAAATGCATTGAGACGAACCAAATATGGACAGGTTCGACCTGCAGAAATTATACCTCAAAATAGACTACATTTTACTAGAAGAAGGAAACATGTAAATATAAACTTGACTTCTGCAACCGTATATAAAGATCTTAGCTGGGTTGTTATTGGTGGTTTATTGTCTGTCACATGTCCGCATTGCAAAGCAGTGAAATTTAAGTTGGACTGTGATGCATCGTCCAGAGCCATTGTATTCGCTTCTCTATGGAAATATGTACAACACAATCAAATCGTTTTCTGACGTATGCACAAAAATATTATGGATCCTTTCTAATATCACTTGGTGATGATATCGTTAACAGTCAGTCCGTTCTCAAAGGTAATGGCTTATAAATATTATGAATTAAAAAAAAATTATTATTAAAGTTTTCAAAAGGCCCGCTGGAAGCCATGCAAAAATTGAATGCACCCACAATCAGTGTTGTGGCAGTTGTAATTGTTGGCGAAAATGAACAATTACAGCGCGTGTACGAGAACCTGTAACGTGTAACAGTGAGTCGCGGGCTGTGACTCCAAGAGCCGATACTTGATGGGCACGCTATAGAGTCCGGCCTTCCTCGTCGGCTTGGGGGGTGTTGTTCTTGCTTGTACCGACTCCAGCTCTTGCGACCATTTTATTAATAAATAGCTAGAATTGAGCGTGCTGCGACGATATGAACGAGCAAAACAATATCGGTAACTGAGAATAGAAAACTCGAAAAAAAGGTTTAAAAGCAAAAAAGATTGAAGAAACCCAGGGAAGCGAACCCACGGCTGTTATTGTGGTCGCGATATCCCCTCCCATCCTATGATCACGCCCGTCCAGCTGGGCTCGGATGACCCCTTCGAATTCTTCCTACGCGCATCAGCAGAGTTCAGTTGGATTCAAGCTTAGAAATAGTTTTATTGGTATTCATTAATTCCGCCCGGTGTTTAGTTCAGCACTAAGTTTAGTAATAGAAAACGACGAGATAATACTACATCCCATAGCCATAATATTTAACGATAGTAAAATTGTTTTCTTTCTTAATAGTTCTATACAAATTCAACTTAATTGACTTTAACTTCTTCCGAATATTTCTAATTTCTTAATGTACAAATTCAAAGATGGCTTCACGTGCACGTCGGCCTCAATCAATGACCACGGCCTGATCTAAACTTATAATAATAGTATCTAAAATTTACCTCTATTCTTTTGGTAAATTCGGTTTCAAAGTACGGGCGCTAGCGTCAAAAAAAAAAAACAAAAAAATCATCCAATTATCTTAATTTTAGTAGGCAATAGAAGCAAGCGTTACTTAATATTTTATATCAATCTCTTGAGAAAAGCGAAAGGAAATTCTTAAACTTGGGTTGGTGACTCACTGCATTTTTTTCCACGCTCTCTCAAAAGCGACAGCACGCGCTTAGTTCCAATTCTGCCTATTCTAGCAATTGGCTCCCTTTAAATTATCCGCCAGCTAAGAAAACATTTAAGGCTAAGCTTAACAAGAGGGTTTACAGGCTAGTTAGAAATGGCTTTTCAGCCGAATTAAGTTTAGCAAGAGTTCACTTCTAATTCAGACTCGATTCAAAAGCACAATTTGACGACACTAAGCGTCTAGAGGACCATCAGCCAACAGCGATCGTTACGTCTGGCGAACGAAGTGTGAGGTTATGTCAAACGGCTGTGCGGTACGTGGCTTGCAGGCAAAGGGAGTAGGGCCGTGAGCCGAGGCTGAAGATCGGCGACGAAGCGTGATGAATATTCCGCGGCGTTGGAGACGGCGTAGGTCCGAGCCGGAGGCACATCCTCCCAATTGGCAATGCGCGCGCCCTAGCACATGAAGAATCCCTCGACGAGGCATCCGACACCATTGATGCTCAGCACAAACTTATATCTCCATTTGGTCTTCTCGTTGGTCCTTGTTAGTTCCGGAGCAACCTTCCCGCAGAGGCAACAGAGGGTGTTCCTCTAAAACAATTCGTTCGCCTCGAAAGGTCTGTAAGGCCTTCCGGGGAGAAATTCTCGAAACAATATAAACACAGCCTCGCCCAGCCGCAAACTCAATGCCCGTGGCGCAAAGGCGAAGGCGGTGCCCGAAATCACTCCTTTGGCGACCTGTAAACAGTTTAATATTAAACTTATATCCCAAAGACGACCCACCGTTTCGTTACTTTTGGCTTTGACTATCAGATTTTCGCACCAACTGTGAACACTTTCTTTCTGCGAATTTGGATTATACCCCAGTCAAGGCGAGACAGGTCCGAATAAACTTTGCCTTTAAAATGTAACTATTGGCAACTCCAAACTCACACACGTCTATTCGCAGATAAATCAAGAACAAAATAGGATGAGATCAAAAATGGCTGGCGGAACTTCGCGGCCACTGACAAGGAGTCACACTTAGCAACAGTATTTGCTAACAGCTGATCCTCGATAACTATCTTCACTAGGTAGCAACATCCTTTTTTAGCTCCCCTAGTTAATCGACGTTCATTGGCGGGGTTTTTAAAACTGTCGCTTCAGGCCGTTACAAACCATCGATCATATCATGCACTTTAATGCCTTAGAGATGAAGTCCAATCTTCCATTTTAATTTAAGCGGATTCACTTAACAGTTCGTTTGGCTTTTGCGATGATAATCAATACATAGCATGGTCACCCGTCTGTGGATTAACCTTGAATATCCCTGATTTTCGCATGGTCAGTTGTATGTAGCATGTTTCCGTGTTGGAAAGCCGTTTCCATTGTTTATTTTTATGCCCGAAAAACAATTTTTAAATTTAATTTATTATATCGCTCATCATATCAAAAAAATTGTTGCCGTCGGCAACAAGTATTTGAACCTTTCGACCCTTCGCTTCTCACCCCACAAACCTTCCAAGGAGGAACCCTCAAAAATGTTTATTTTTAATGCTATTGAATTTAATTCGTTAAATGGTAAAAAGTAGTTGAAACCACTCGAATTAAAACTGTGAAAATATGACGATCCATTTGTTAAAAAAAAAATATGTTTAAAGGCTGGTAATAAAATAAAGTAAATTCGTTTGAATGTTGGTAGCAGAATTGGTATAACTGAAATCAAAGAAATTAAAAAAAAAGGCGCGAAAATGGTCATACTAACAGCTGAACATTTTTTTTTTAACAAACTTGCCGGGCTAGCTTGCGGATGCCCAGGGTGGGGTCCGACCCAATGCCAGCAGTCCGCACATAGGTATTCGATATATCGGACGTCTAGGAAACTTTCATCACGGACAAAAACTCACATCACTATGAACGAAAAAAATAAATAAACAAGCAAACATATCTGGACGACACTTCAGGGACGCAATTGTTGGCATAGATATATCCACCACAACGCACCAAACCATCCTGTGATGGATTACCACTAGGTAATCTTGGGACACCACCCATATCCGGCGAACCGGAGCCTAATCCAGGCGGTCTGGCGACCAGCCTTCTTGCCATGTAAAGTTTTTACTTAGCGTTCATTTCAGGTTTTAATTCGTTATAAACTAACAGTCTCTTACGTCTAACATAGCAGGGTTTCAATAGTTTTAATCTATCCTATTCCGGACAAACCGTCACCCCATCCCGGAAAGCGCTTCCGCCAAGATTGTGACAGCGGAGAAGAAGCGGGGGGTTGATTTTCACGATCGCACTAACTGCAGTTTATTCTAAGCAGATTCTTTGATTTTGCAGCACTTGTGCAAGTCGGCCCGGATTTTCGGCCGGCAATGGGAGAAACGAAACGAAACGAGCTGCGGCTCGTTGGCGGACTGGATGAAGCTCCGGTGGTAGCTGGTCCCACTTCACAAACAAATTGCCGGCGGCGGGTTCAGCCCCAGATAACATCACAGAAACCAAAACAGAAAAAGTGCTGTGTCCAGTGAATTTTTCACGGCCACGGTTTTTCTATATTTTCAGAAAATTGCCTTTCACCTTTGGCTGCTGCCGGTCCGCTGCACGATTTCGGCCAAACCGTAATAAGGAATTAATGAGAACAGCATATTAAAAGAAACAAATAATATATTTTCTTTAAAAATAAAAATAGATTTTTAAGTATTGAAGTTATGAAGAAAGGAACCTATCTTCGGGACGGCGAAGTTTCTATACCTTATTCAATCATTAATATTATAATACAATATAAATTATATATATATATTTATGTTTCATAAAAATAAAGTAATGCCTACTTTTGTTACATGTAGTCGTCCCCTTTTTTTATACCCTTGCAGGGTATTATAATTTCAGTCAGAAGTTTGCAACGCAGTGAAGGAGGCACCTCCGACTATATAAAGTATATATATTCTTGATCAGGATCAACAGCCGGTCGATCTAGCCATGTCCGTCTGTCCTTCTGTCCGTCTGTCCGTTTCTACGCAAACTAGTCTCTCAGTTTTGAAGCTATCTGAATGAAACTTTGTGGTTAGCCTTCTATATACTCTCACTCTTATATATGTCGGAACGGGCCTGATCGGAAGACTATATTCTATAGCTGCCATAGGAACAATCGGAAAATTTTTACAAAAATATGTTAACTGTTTCAGTTTTCAATAGAATTGGCTCAAATTTGAGATATAGCCATTTTACTATACTCTACAATTTTGTATAACATTTTATGAAAATCGGACTACTATATCATATAGCTCCCATAGGAACGATCGAGAAATTAATACAATTAAATTTATAACTTTTTCAGTTTTCAGCTGACTTTCATCAAATTTGAGGTATAGCCATTTTATTTAAGTCTTAAATTTTGTGTCTAATTTCATAAAACGATCGTTTGATGTAGAGGAAAAATGCAAATCAGTGAATGTAAAATTGCAAATATAATATGTATAGGTGAATGAAATGAAAGCAGCAGGTATTACTTCATTGTTTTTTAACACAAATATATATAATTTATATTGTATGGATTCCTATTCATAGAAGTTCTATCTGCAAGGGTATATAAACTTCGGCGTGTCGAAGTTAGCTTCCTTTCTTGTTTTTAATAAATCCGAAATTCTGGAATATTATATATGGGGGAAGATCTCTGAGTAGATGAAAAAATTGTAAAAAAGGAACATCGAAGTTATCATTTTTAATAGTATTAATTTCTCGATTGATCCTATGGCAGATATATGATAAAAAAATACATAATGATTTTTATAAAACTTGATTAAAAAATATGTTGATAACTGCAAAAGTTATAATTTTTTTTTTTCTAAAAATTTTCCGATTATTCCTATGGAAACTGAGCAGAGCTCGCAAATAACTGTCGACCGTTTCTCGTTGTCTGCAAATAAGTGTCTTTTCCTGACACTTTACGAAAAAACTCAGAGAGCAACCGAAATAAGGAATCCGTTTTTTTTAATTCTGTTTTGTTCTGGTTGTTCAAAGACCGTTTTGTCGTGTTCAGTGAAGCAAAAAGTCTTTTGCATATGTATTGGTATACACTCACACGCATAGGCAAGCAAGTCGTTAAGCGTCTGTATTGCGATCGTGAATTGAGTGTGTGTGAGTAAATGCAAAGACCGTTTGCGTTGAGTTTTTCGGTCAATCGGTCTTTTGCTGACTCTCATTGTGCGAGCGTTTCTCGTTTCGCTCTTTAGGCAATGCTCATTGAAAGAGCGACACACAAAGAGCTCAACGAAAAACGTTCAACAGAAAACATAAAAGAATACAGCAAGAGTCTCTTGCTCAGAGCGAGAGCGAGAGAGTATGAACTTTTTCGGTTGTGCTCGCAACGAGAGCGCAAGAAAAAAATCGGTCGACAGTTATTTGCGAGCTCTGAAACTGAGAGACTAGTTTGAGTAGAAACTGAGAAACGGGCGGGCAGACGGACATAGCTAGATCAACTCGGCTCTGATTATTATAGAGCCGGAAAAGTCTTTTTCACTGCGTTGCAAACTTCTTATATTTTAGTTCCCTGGAGGGGTATAAAAAATTTAAATTAACAAACAATATGTCAAAAGAAAAGATGGTGTTTCATATGCTCATGAAACAAATTAAGTTAATAGGGCTTCTTAATTTACAAAAATTAGTACGATTGTTTTGTTATTTAAAAATTAACTTATGGGAAAAATAATACAATTTAGTTAAATAGCACTATTCAAAAAAATTTTAACATGTCTTATTCATAATTTGTAAGACCAAGATTGGCAGCACAAACGTCAATTATTTCAATTTCTTAAAAAAAAAATAATGAGAGATTTCTTAATAATTTCATTAGTATATCTGTAGTCTTATCCAAAAAGTGTTAAAAGTAATGTACGACCTTGGCTGAATGAGCATAAATTTGAATCAAAGTGTATCTTTTGAACTTTCTATATTAAATCTAAAATTTAAAAATATTTATAATATGTATATGTAATATATACATACGTACATACATATTTATATAAAAATAAAATACTTTACTATTGAAAATAAAAAATTAAAACTCACCTCTTAGAACATCAGCAGGAATAAGACGTTTGTAAATTCGAATTTCCCCAGCTTTATCTATAACTTCAACATTTTCTTCAGCTCCACTTATAAAAGGAGCCAAAAGAGTTGCTATAGACAAGGCCAGAATAACAAAGTGAAAACGATTGCTCATTTTTTATGAAATGCCTTTAAAGGTTTGAAATAATATTGGAACACTTTGTCCCAGTAGTTTCAAAATGTATTTCCACTAAATGGCATCAATTGTGCCAAGTTAAGTCTGAGAGCAGCGAAAGTTTACAACAAATTGAAACCAGTCAAAAGGCACACCTATACTTTTATGGAAAAGTCATATGTCCATACATACATATGTATGTATATGCATGCATGTACATATTTATATGAAGTCTTTCTATAACAAAGCTCTTTTTTCAGAGCTGCTCTTTCATATTATAGTGTACATACGTGAACGGCAGTGGTATTTGCCGACCCGCGGTATAGGGTAGAAGCGACCATTTATTTAAAGCCCAGCTTTGGTACGGTCCGGTTTGCACAAGAGCTTACATACATACATATGTATGTAAGTATTTTCACAAGTAAGCACACCATTGAACATATAAATAAAAGTTAATACACTTTGCGTCATTTAAATAGGCCCACTTAAAAACATCTTGGACATTACACCACTAAGATTAGAATTGACTTAGTTATTTGTTTTTTTTTTACACAATATTTATAAGAACGTTATACTTTTGCATTAATATTATGACATAACTGCATTAATTAGAATTTGTATTATAAATTTGACAGCATCATAGTATTTTAACTAAGTCCGAGCATCTCTTCTGTTCGTGTCCGGCTAGAGCTGGAAAAAAGTCGATGTCAACATTCTATGCATTCATCCATAGAATTCGAATTCATTCATAGAATTCGATGCATTTTATTTCGGTCGATGCATCCATCCATCCATCCATCCATCTTAATCAATTTTTAAGATACATTCCCTATGTATAAGAAGATAAATCAAACTGATGTTCCCGTACTAACACAGGACTTCGTCAAAAATCGCAACAATGTAAGACCCCCGCTGAAAGGAAGACTTTCGCAGTACTGTCTCTACTGATTCGGCAGTATATATCCTTCAAACAAAATATGTATCTAGCCAACCAACGAATTTGTACTTGTTCCGATACAGAAAACGATCCACCAAACAAAACTATCTCAACAAAAAAATACGCTTTTGGGTTTTATGAAAAATCGGATAATATATCACTCAGACAATACTTGGAGACTCCAACTCCAGGCATAAGTCTCTTAGACTATTGAAAGATCTAAAGAATCGTAATAACAATTACTTTTTTTCAGATTCACGCCAAAACTATTATTAGACATGTAATTTTCTTTATTTAATAAATGTATTTTAATTTTGTATACCCTTTCAAGGTATTACATTTTCTGTAAGAAGTTTGTAACGCAGTAAGGGAGTCTTCTCCGACCATATAATGTAACATATGTATGTACATATATATATTCTTGATCAGTATCAACAGCCGAGTCGTCCACGGTCGTTCTTCTGTCCGTTTTTACGCAAACTGGTCTCTCAGTTATGAAATTATCTGAATGAAACTTTAAAGTTAGTCTACTTTATACAAAAATACATTTTTTCTCAGCTCTATGTCCGACCCTAACCCAGGTAAAAGTAAGATATGTATGTAACTGGGCACCCCATTACTGGTATCACTAGTAGGTGTCCCCATAAAAATTAGAGTCGAACTATTTGCCTTCGCCAAAAACACCTTTAAGATTTTAATTGACCTAAGCCTGGCCCCACGTTGTGCGCCCGGTTCAACTTAACCTAACCAGAATAACAAACAATATTAGGATTAAAGGCATTACACACATATTAATGTAGAAGTACTTTGTTAGTTACCCCTTCAGAACCCTTTAGTACCAAAATTTTTTCCGGGATTAACCAAAGGCATTACAGTTTATATATAATATATAATATGCAATATTACGCTAATTTTTTTATTCACACAACAATGGCGCTCACCCTGCTCTCACAAATTGAACGCGTAAAAATCTAAAAATAGAATACGTTTGCTTGAATGAGTAAACACAAGAGCAACCCTGCAGTACCTGTCATCGGTAATTCATCAACGTTTCATCAACATTCAAGGGGGTGCTGTTGATTTTTCATCGATGACAGGCCATACAAACTGTTAATTTATTTAACATGGGCATGTCCTAGGCTGTCTTCAATAAAAATTCATCAACAAATTCATCAACAATTTATCCTCAATTTATCGATGATTCATCAACAATTCATCGATGTTTCATCAAAAATTTATCGATGTTTCATGAACAAATTTCTCAGCGGCCGGGTCATGGTACTGCCGACGACCGCCGTAACTGTATCGTGGGCAGAGCGTCTTAGTAAAAGTCGCAGTCGGCAGAGCGTCGACTCAGTAGAAGTCGCAATAGGCAGGGCGTCGCCTCGGTAGAAGTCGCAGTCCGCGCGTTGATTACAGAGGCTTATTGATGACATGCGGTACTGCAGGGAAGGGAAGCAAGTGCGTATGTGTGCGTGAATATGAGTGTGCTTCTGTCCGCAAGCGCAACGACGAAAAATTTTAATTTTATATTTTGGGCTGCTGACCGCTTGTTAGGTAGAGAGAAGATCATGGCGCGTGGCTCAGAGTTTAGAACATCCGCCTTCCAAACAAGTTAGCGCGAGTTCAAATGCCGCGTGAGGCAAACTTTTTCTTAATTGAATCTTCAATTTGTTAATGGAATGCATTTTTTTTAAGTTTGTTTCAGTAAAGGATCGACCAACAACATTAAAAGGAATCAATAACTGTGGTTAAACAAGATAACAAAATTATAGTACATAAAAAGTACACAAACTCTCAAAAATATAATACTAAGTTCATATTAATGGGATTCTACTCTCTAGATATTTTCAGATTTTCTTTTAAAGGAATTCTACTTAGTTTGAAAAGCAAAACGTAAAATAATTGCGGGGATTTTGTTTTTTTTTTTTCAACGCACTTCATGTTAAAAAAAAAAATCCCGAAAGGGAAATACCTCAGCACCGAATCATACGTTGAAAGGAGCAGCGTTCAATTCAGGTACTGAATGATGATTGATTGATGCTTGTAATTTTTTCTTTATTTTTATAAGTAATGGAACAAATATAAATACTAAAAGCTTAATTCCAATTTAAGAAAATCATTTATTTTCATATCAAATTCTACAAATTGGGTTATTTACATAATATGTACATACAAAATATATAAATGTGTATGTATATTACATATTTAAGTAATTATATACATATAATTGTTATTTTTATTAAAACAATAAAAATATCATTTAAATTTATAATTATATATATATATATATATTTACAATTATTTAATTCAACTGACTAAGAAACAATATATTAAAACACAAATTATAAAAATAAAATAAAATACATGTTAAAATATGTAATAGGTTCAATCGCGGAATCGGTATTTTTAGGGACGCCATGTTGCTGAATGCGTATAAGAGAGGTGCTGGCTCTAGAGAGAGCGTGAGAAAGAGCGGCTGGGTCAAGAGCGCTGTCTCGGCTTTTGAAAAAAAAGTGAGTGTCGACGATCGAATATTGTTATCGATAGGCGTCGTTAGTATATTAAGAGAGAAAATACTAATGTATTTGAGCACTAGTGTATATGGGCATATTTTTTTATTGCAATTATTCAACGCCAAAATGTACAAAAGAAGTTGTACAGGCAGTGTTACACAAGAAAGAAGCAAACTTCGGAACGCCGGTGATTGAAATTCCGGCAGCCATGCAGACTAAAATTCGGTCATTAGGAATTAATACAATATAAACTATATATATTTATGTTAAAAACAATGAAGTAATGCCAGCTTTTATTTCATTCACCTATGTACATATATAACATATTATATACATACATACATATATATCCACAGTTTTACACTCACAGTTTTGCATTTTTTTTCAATATCTAACTATCGTTTGTGTGGCAGCTATGTGATATAGCTTTCAGATTTTCATAACATTAAAACCGAATTAAAACTAGAAAACTGGTTATATGAAAACAAGAAAGGAAGCTATCTTCTGCACGCCGATGTTTATATACCCTTGCAGATAGAATTTCGATGACTAAGAATCAGTACAATATAAATTACATGTATTTATATTAAAAACCAATAAAGTAATACCTGCTTTCATTTCATTCACATATACATACATATTATATTTGCAGTTGTACATTCACATACTTTCATTTTTCCACCTACATATATGATATTGTCGTCCGATTTTCATAAAATATGTTACGGAACTGCCTTTCTTTGGGCAACGCCGGGCTAGCTCAGGGTGCCCAGGGCTGGGTCCGACCCAATGCCCGCAGTCCGCACAATTAGAATATACCGAATTAATCGGACGTCTCAGACTAAACGATAAGTGTCATCACTAACAATACAAAAAGGTAAACAAACACGAAAATTAAGCTGCTGGGTTGAATTTGTGGCTCGGCTGGTTCCGCCACGACGCGCCCACCCATCCAGTGATGCCTCCTCCACCTTTCGGGGCATCACCCATCTCCGGCATGCCGGAGCTTACTCCAGGCGGCCTAGCGACTGGCCCATCTCCCCCCAGGTAAACTTACTCCATTTTAATTTTTAATCTCTTACTGGCTATTGATTATAAATTTTGGCATCTTACATCTAACAGATTTATAAACATGGTTTAGGCGCCAACTCGTCCACGGCGAGAACGTGGCCTCAGCCAGGGATGCGCTTGCACCAAGGCTGCCCTTTATTGAGGACCGACAACGTTGGCGGAGGAGAAGCTTTTCGGCCACAATTTGGCCACGATTGGCTGACAAGAAATTTCCCTCTTTCACCTACTATCCCTACTGGAGCTCCATAAGAAATAGCATAGGGTCGGGGTTCAAACAAAACTGAGGACTTACTAAGGGCTTCTTCCCCGTTCCCCTATTGGTCGCAGCGCATGGGTTGCACCAATCCCGGACCCAGGATACGATCAATCCGGAGGGCGAGACAAACACACTAATACCTCACATCTAACACTAACTAACAATAACAATAATGTCTTACACCTAACAACAACTAACCATAACACTAATGTTTTACACCTAACAACTTAAATGTATTATTTTTTCTTCTTTTATATATTCCAACTCGCCCTGGTTTGGCGCCGGGTGGTAAGGGCAGCCCGCAGGTCGGCGGCAGCTGCCTGGGCAGAAATTAATGCGCAATTCGCCCTTGGTATCATCCCATGCGGAACGGACTCACCGGATCTGGGGTCTTCTTTGGACTGCGGCGGCGGC